CCCTCCTCGTTCTAATAATAATTCCCCTCCTCAATCTACTAAAAATCCTCAATCTATTAAAAATTCCTCTCCTTCTCCTCAACAATCTTCTCAATCCTCTTCAATATTCCGTCCTCAATCTATATTATCTTCTATACTTCCTTCTCAATCTAATGATTCTTCAAAGAAGATTAAACATCAAAGACGTTGGTCTATGGATTTTGGTCCACGTAATCATTTGAACACTGATTTGAATCCTGATTTGAATACTGATGATGTTACAAATATACCTGATGATAATAATGTTGATATAGCTTTATCTTCATCTCCACATTCCTCACGTCGTCTTCATTCTGTATCTCCAACTTCTTCATCTACCGTTTATGCTGATAGTACAGCAAATGATCCAAAATCTCGTGGTATGCCACGTTTAATCAAATTTAAAACTGGTGATATAATTCAAACTTTAGCATCTTGTCGTCCTGCTAGTACCAAAAATGGTTACGATTTTTCTCCACCAAGTACTCCAATTCCATTTGATAAGAATGAATTAAGTGATGGTGATAATAATGATGAGGAATCAGATGTGGATGAGGTTTGTGAGAATACTGATGGAAATAGTATTGACGAAAAAAGACAAAGAAAATTGGGTCAAGGGTTACTAAGTAAAATATTTTCTTCAACATCCTTTCCATCTTCGATATCAATGACCCCAGCAGCTCGCGGTTCATTAAGCCGTTGACATTTTTTTTCATTAGTCACGGATCATAAAGTCATTTGATCATCTTTATTGTATATTCATTTTTAGAACGTCTCATTCATAACATCTAAAATTAGACTTGATGAAACCATCCTATTCTCCATAAAAAATTTGTCATTTAGATAGTTTTCATACCCATTTTTGTTATACTACTTTGTTATACTACTTTTTTTGTAAATACTTTCACGAATGTTACACTCCGTGTACATTAAACCTAAAACGGTGGGCCGGAACGATTAAGGAGCGGAGATGACGTAATCGTGGTGAATCCACACTCCCATATATACAAAACCCTTCATAACCTAATTTAGTAAGAGTGTTTTTTTACAACGCGAAATTAATGTTCCTACTACACATTTACAACATTAATAGAGAGAAAGAGAGAGAGAATTCTTTACATCATCCCTTATCATCCTTAGCCTTTAAGCGATCACCATCAATTTTATGTATATATGATGATATCTTCCTCTAACTCAAAAAAGATTTGTAGACTTTTTCACGACATACAAAAAAAAAAA